CCACATATATATATATATATATATATATATATATATATATATATATATATATATATATATATAAGAAAGGTTCTTCCACTGAAGTGGCCGTTTTTGACATGATCAGTAGAATTGTTGGCAACACGGAACTTAAAATCCATACCGTAGGGGTTTTTATTGACTTCAAAAAAGCTTTTGACTGTTTAAATCATACCATTCTTATTCAAAAGTTGAGTCATTATGGGATCAGGGAAACATTGTTAGCCTGGTTCAAAAGCTTTTTATCTGAGAGAAGCCATTATGAGTCTACTGACGGGTCAACATTGTGTTTTTTTTTATTTTTTGGACATTATGAACAAATTTTATACAATTACATAATTTACACCATCTCTCACCACAAATTAATAAATAATTTATTAATTCAGATTAAATGTAAAATATGTATGTAACAATCTAACCAACCCATTTGGTAATGCAAAATAGAATGCAAATTCATGCGTACCGGCACCCAACACTGAACGTTCGGCTGCAACGTCATTTGATGATCGAAATTTAAATTAGTTTATTAAAATCAAATTGGAAATAGCATATAAATAAACAAGCAAAACAATTTAAATTCATTAAGATCAAACTGGACCAAGTTTTAAAAAGATATATATATCCAACAAATTAATATTTTATATTTCTCTAGTAACTCAATTGTTATCAACATCATCATCATTTTATTCAAAAGAAAAACTAACCGTTCCCATAAAGAATCTGTTTCACCGAAATGTATACGACCTCTGATTTATAAAATTGAACGGTCTCAAATTCACCAGTCCCTGTAGCTTCCGTCCATTCAACACGAGCTGCACCTACCATGCATATGAACATCGTTTTCAAATTAATTTTATTTTTTAATGCAAGGACACATTTTCCTGTTATCATATCACCAGGACAGAAAACTGATTTGTTGTTTGTCAGTATTATTTTTAGGCTTTCCAATTTACCCATGACAAGAACCAAGGTTACAAATTAACTGCTTAATTTAAGTTTCTTATCTAACCTTTATCTTTTCATTGTCACTTCAAAATTTAGTATCTGTTTAACTAATGTTAAATTTATAGTATAAAATGTTTAAATTGATTCAGTTGCAATTTACTATAAAATGATGAACATATTCTTCACAGGTTGTAAACATCAAATATGGGATTTCGAGATATATATACTTCGTTCCGTTCGTTGAAGATTTATTAAAAATAAGTTTGTGGTAATTTCATATAGATAAATCTGTCATTATATTTTTGACAGATTTATTGAAAAAATAATCCTCCAAAATATATAATTTATCTTCTATTTATTTATTTATTTATTAAAATAATTTATTACGCATTCAAAATTTCAAACGTTTTTATTAAATTATTATTAATAATAATAGTGGTAGTAACAATGTACCAATATTATAATAATTATTATTTTTTTTATTATTATATCATTATTATTACAATTATACAGATACACTGTTTTAAAGTTTTTCAAGTATTTTGATTATTTCGACCAATAACGTTAGAGGATGCTTTTTAAATTAACAGTGTACAAATTCACAGTTACCATTTTTTACTTTAGTAATGTAAAAAATAGTATAACATTTTCATTTACTTCGTAAAACAGAACATTGTGCAACAAACATTATATAGCATACAACACATTATATGACATGCAACAGCAACACGTATACAACACAAATATTTAACATACACTGCACAATATATAACACACTACTAGCAAAACAAAGTATCGGCGACACGCACGAAGCAGGTACGCCTCATTAATTCTATTGATTGAATATATCAATATATACACAGCGTTATGATTGCAATCTGAAAATTCCAAACAGGAAAAGTACAATAGAAGCTACCTCAATGCAGTTGTTCAGCTTTTCAAACAACTCACTTCGTCGCAATAAAATAAATAAATTGAGAAGAAAGTTATTTTTATGAAATAAAATTATTTAATTGATTTATTCAAATTACTCAAGAAAAACAAGTCATGTTTTAAAATTTTTTTATATGTTTTCTCTAATATTATTAACCGAGCGTTGATTAATTAAAGTCTAAGTGACTCGTGGAATTATGTAGGTTAATTGTTTTCTTCTGGTTGTTCTCACTTCTTCTTAACTCGTGTTAAACCCTCTTTTGCTAAATCTGCATTTGCTTTTTCTGGTCCTTTTCTCTGGAACTCTTTACCTCTTTCTCCATCACTTACGAATTTCAGATATCAAGACCCATCTGTTTGCAAAATTCATTGAGGAACGCTGTTGAACATCGTAGAAATAGCGCTTTATAAACTAATTGATTGATTGAAATTCTTTACACTGCACAATTCACTGTGCACTGTTTATTATAATGTACGCAAGAATTATTAGAGATTGTCATTTAATGATGCAATATGAGGATCCATTGTAGGAATCAAATATTTTTAATTTTAAAACAAAGTACGACATTTGGTATAGGGGAAACCGAGGCACATTGAACCAATTTTCATAATTTAACTTGTCGGACATATATTAATGCATTAAAACTTTTTGATGTAGGTCATTATTATGTAATATTATGTCCTTTACGCATAGAAAAAATTCTATCGACTTCTAACAAGTATCTATGACATTAAAAAGATTTATTAGTAAGCCTGTCGGGGTACGTTGAACCAATATTGTTTAACACATTTTGATAATCAGTTTTATTGTTTTCAGTGAAATATTTTCAAATCTAAATATGTTATTTAAATCAAATTTATTTTTTGAATGGTGACAAGGACACAAGGACACAAAACTACAATTAACCAAGACATGAGTAACACAAAATAGAGTCCTCTAGGCAACAGTGTTCATGGCACCATTCTTTACAGTACGGACATTCCTTCCAATTTTCAAATGGAGGTACATTGGCCAGTATGCCACAGAAATGACAAGGTGTGTTGTCGTCACTCGTAATTATAGGAATGTTATTCTTACTTTTCTTTTGCTTTTCCGACACTTTAGCCGTCTTTCTTGAAATCTGCTGATTACGGTCAAATAAAATCTTCTTTCTTTTTTAGTGATGGTCTTTGATTCACGAGCTCGTTGACGAGCTTCCAGCTCTGCTTTCACTGGTGTATCTATCTTTTGCGGTGCAGCTTTTTTGAATGGCCTGATCATCTCCGGCGTGGCGTTAGATTTCTGCTGGTCTCTACATTTAATAATAAAAATTGTGAATTGTATATTGAAAAATAATATGAAAATATTAATAAAAAACGTAAATAATTTGTAATGGAAGGTATATACATTGAACTGATGTCCATTACAAATTTCACATTGACAGTTGAAGTTGCAGTTGCTTCAGAAGTAATTATACAATTCAGTTTCGCCTGACTGACGGTCAAGACGGTATCACGTTCTGGGTTAGTGCTGAAATTATTTGTCGGTTTGAGATTGGCAGTTGAAACAATAGTGGATGCCACGAAACTGGTTTGTATCGTTGTTGGTGTTTCGTTGGCGGTAACAGGTTCACCATTTTGGCGCTCAGTAATTTTTGAACACATTTCCAGATGGTCGGTCGTATATGATAGTGTATATTCATCATCCTGGAAAATATCGCGTTGAAAGGGATATACACCAGCTACCCTGAATCCTGAGCATATATTAACTGGTGTTGCAGCTTGAGAAAAAGCCTTATTTACTATTTCCGGAATATCATATATTGTCATTGATCGGCCGGGATTGTTTTTCATCCAGGCATCCTGTGCTAATCCTACAAATTTTTTTAATGGCCCAAATACAGATCGATCAAGTGGTTGGAGTTTGTGCGAGGAAAATTAAGCATTACGACGCCGTTTTTCTTTCCGTAATCCAACACTGATATTGATACATTTGACTCATGATTGTCAAGTAGCAAAAGAATGGGATTCTCAACAAAACAACGTGCATGCTTGACTAGATGTTTTATAACTTCCAGAAAGTTAATTTCTGTCATCCAACCAGAAGGATATGCTAATCCAAGAGATCCCGGTTGTCTAATAATATGATCTTTGTAGTCAACTCTCGAGAACACAAATGCAGGTGGAATACTTTTCCCCAGTGCATTAACTGCAACAGCCAAAGTAACCATTTGACCTCGTTCTTGCGAGACTATGGCTCCAACTTGCTTTACACCTTTTTGAGCAATTATTCTGCTAGGTCGTTGCACATCAATGTTGTAGATGGCCTCTGGTCCAAACACATAGCGTTCAAAAACTTTCGACAAGTTAGTCGAAAAATGTGGACACGTTCGATCTGTTGAAACTTATTACCCGAGCAATAGATGTCGATTCAGGTACTCTGATTGAGAGGTTTGGGTGTTTTTTCATGAATGCACTAAACCAATCAGCCCCAGCTTTTTCATCCATCTTCCAATTTCTTGGAACGACCTTGCTATTTGTGGTTGCAAATTGATATGCCAATATGCGGACTTCTCTGAGATTCAAACCATAGTACAACGCGGCAGCTTTCTTAATATATTTCTCTATTAAGCATTTTTTGTCTTCAGTAAACACCTTTTTGACTGACTATAACCAACTCTAAATGTTGACAATGCAGAATTCGGTGCATTATTGTATTTTTTGCAATATCTAATCAATAACGCGTGGTCAATGTTATGTTTGCGGCTAATAGCACGGAGACTCATTTTACTATCAATAGTTCTTAACTAGCATTATATCTGAAGAAGTACTACCTCTGTTTCTAGTTCGCAGTCGAGATCTGACCATATTGAGTTAGTGATAGATCCTGTTTAAAAAAACAATGTTTTAGTTGTTGACGTTATCGTTAATGCCCTTCAAACTTTTAAAAATACAATTGCAATAAGAATAAAACCAAAAAAAGTGATTAATTTTGAAGTAGAATAAGTACAATCATCACATATCGTGTTGCATTGATGTCAGGGGCAGGTTGAACCATGGTTCAACGTACCCCCGACAACATGGTTCAATATGCCCCAATCATAGTGGTTTTAGTATTTCAACTGTAGCCTCATTAACATGCTACAAAGGCGTGTAAAAAACCACGTACCGTTTTACCAGATAAAAACACTACAAAATATATATGGTAAAATTATTTTAAATAACATTAACCTCAAATTCTCAAAATTACTCGAAAGGGGCAAAATCACATACGTGACATTTACTCGAAAATTTGCAGACATAAACACGCGAAATTAACTCAGCTAGTTCGATTTGCATTAATAATTAGATTTATGGAACGCCTACCGATAGTTTTCTATAAATAAGCAAATTTACCTTCTTGGTTTAACATGCCCCGTGGTTCAACATCCCCGGTCTCCTCTACACCGTGAAGCACTTAAACTTTTCAACATTAATACTGCGAACATTCTTTGAATAATATTTATTTGTTACATTATCAACATTTGAATATTTAAATTACAAGTAATTGTCAGTGTTGAAATCATTTTTTTGAAATTCCTGTTTTGGTAATGTTTTGAAACATAACATCACCGAAAATCTCTGATACATTTTGACGACCATCTTTGATCATTGCCTCAACATTTACAGCATTGGCAACATCTATCATTGTCTTTACTGGTAAATCTTGATCAACATCCAACATTGTCTTAAAGAACGTTCTATGCACATGTGATTACCTCAAAACGCACTGCTTCAAAATTTCTAAAGCATGTGGTTAGGTAGATACTTGTAAGTTTTAGAACTTCAACAAAATTAGACATCATTTGCTTCAATTCGTAATGACTGTGCAGATGCGAAACTACTATTATTTATTAAGTAACCTTTCTTCCAATCCTTCATAAAAAGGGTTGGTATCATCAGGAAAAGAAGTTGAAGTACATGATCACGTTTTGCATCAAATCATGCTTACTTCAAATATGTCAGCCAGTGGCACAAAATTTACATTACCGGGCAGTGGCGGATCTAGGGGGCTGGAAGGACCAGTGACTAGATTTTTAATAAAAGTCAGAAAAAAGACCGTTTTACTTAGAAAATTGACAAAAATTGAACGTGATAACAAAAAAGGTCGTCAGCCACCACACTATCAACAAATCTAGGTCCCCCGTAAAAATTTTGGCTCCTGTAAAAAAATAAAACATTTTTAAAATTTTGGCTTTCCGGTCAAAGTGTTCTAGATCCGCCACTGTTACTGGGCAATGTTATGTGTAAGAGTGGCAATGTTAAATGAGGCCCTGAATGATATTAAACAATTTGTAAAACACTACATCACCAATAAATGGCAGATACATTTGATGACTATGACAACTTCACCCGTCTAATCCACAACAAAATTAACAAGGCAACACAAAAAATCATTGCTGATTAAATTTTCACTAACAAAAATAAACAATAAAAATAAGACTCACAATAAATTTGACACTCGGATATACTCTATAAATTTTATTAATGCTTTATTTTAACGTAATTTCAATATTTATCTAAGTTCACTTTTAAATTTATTTATATCCTTACTTAGTCTCTCAAATGTTAATTGCAGGCGTAAAGTATAGTTTTGTGTTTGCGAAGTATTTTTATTTTTCATGTCTTCGGTTATTGACATCAGACTGAAAAGAGCAAACAAAATTTACCATGAAAACGTTAGTATTAGTGAAGTCTTTCTTAAATTATTGTTTGATTATTTAGAATAAACTTTATTATTCAATCAAAAAGGGTTGCTATCACCATCTATATCACGCATTATATTATGGTTACGCCCCATAATTTTTGTTATATTTTTTTAAATCTAAAATCAAGAAACAGCAGAAGCTTGGACTTGTGACATAAACAAAAAATTAATGTAATTTCAAACAACTTTTTGCAGGACTAAACACTAAACAAAATGATAAAGCAAAATGATAATATAATATGATAGAACATATGAAATGAACATATGATAAACGTGAAATTATAAAACCTAAAACGTGTAATTTGATATTTTTTAGGTGGTAAATTAAATTAGTAATTAAAAAATTTATTTGGCAAATAAGTAAGTATTTGTTGTAGATATAATAATTAATTATTAATCAATGAATCATATTTTTGTGCAGTCTTGACAAACTGCTTTAACTCTCTTTAGATATTAATATACTTATTTAATTTGCTCTACCCATATTTCTTTGTTGAAATAGAAATGATAAGTAATGTAAAAATAATATAAATGAAAATGAACAATTTTGTAGTGTGCGATCTCACTGACTGAAGCATTATCAGTGTTAATTATAATTTATTGGCAAAGTTAGCCATTATGCTTCCCCTCAATTTGTTCACATTTCTATCTCCACCCATGCTACAACAGGGGATAAATTTGCATATACAGTGAAATTGGTATATATTCTATATTCTATATATCACTGATATATTTATATTTAAATTTCATCTTCCAGATAACAAATTACCAAAATTTAAAAGTTTATAATAGATTATTATTCGCAAAAAAAGTTTAGATTCAATAAAATAAGTTGTATGGTTGGAAAAATTAAACATTCAATCATTTTCATTGCTAGGACAAAAACATGCAGAAATTAAAATGCACACTATGTATGGTATGTACCAGGGTTGTTAATAGCGAAATTGTGATAGCGGCGCTACAGTGGTGCCGCTACTTTTTCAGTATCGATAGCGATACTCATAATCAGATTTTTACACATACAATTAAACTGTGAACCATGAGGTGCGCAGTTTCGTGTCCCTGAGCAAAACGGTGTTGCACAAGTGCAGGTGTAAAGGAAGTCATTTTGCCCATTATCGCTGCTTCAAACACGGCGTGCTGACTGCTGGAAGAACATGCCATAAACCTTTGAAGATGATTTTCTTTTGAGTGTAGGTCATTGAAATAAAAAAATGCTGCAGAGCACACAGCTAAGCAGTATTCTGTAGGTTCAGATAATCCACCTCGGTCCTGCAGCTCAATGACTTTTGTGTGCTCTCCAGAATTCTCTTTGTCACAAAAGCGGTCCACCAGATTTTCTTTGCAAGACTCACATTTCGTTTTTCTACTGATCGACCTTCCAATGTACCCAGAGGTGTATATGAGGGGCAGCATATATTTTGGATCAAGATCAGTAGGATCATCTGCCAGCTCGTCACGCAACCACGTCCATTCTACTGTAGCGGAAGGAACAGTTTTTTCAGTAAAGGCTAGCTCCTCAAATACGCCTGACCTTATAGCAGTTAGAGTACGAATTTTTTTTTCATTTTCCATAATTTGACGCACACTTATATAGAAATTGGCACCATTGAGTTGGCGGTACCAACCAAACCGCCCCTCGATGCAATCAGATGTCCATTTTCCAAGAAGACAGTAGGTAATTTCATCATAGTTTTCAAAAATATACGAGCAGAGTTGTGAAATTCCTCTAAACGTTTGCACGCAGGCTGTGAAAGTTTGGGATGTTAATCCATCTGTCTTTGTGCTTTTGTTCCACCTTTCAAAATAGTCTGCCGCATCAAGTAGATACTTTAACTGCCAATCAGTAGGAGAACTGACAGCTTCCAAGTACTTGTTTAGATTGTGTTTTCCTGAATAAATTATACACAAACATTTAGCAAAAATCTGAATTGGTTAAAGCTTATCAAGAAAATATACATGTAGCTCTAATGAAATGCAAAGTAATAGCCATTTCTAATCATGAGATACAAATAAATCAAATCACATTTTAAAGTTTATTATGCAATTGAATATAATTAAAGATAAAAATGGTAAAAAAACAAAAGGAAATAAAAGAAAATACAAAAAATAATTATACTAGCAGAGATTTTTAAAAATTTATTTCAACTAGACATATAAACATAGACTTCACCTTGAAAAGAATGTCTCACTCCTAAGATATTCCATAGTCTGTTTATATACTCTAAGAACATTGCAGTGTCATTCCATCCTTTTTTATTGTACAGCTTCAAACCAGCCACAGTTAAATCATGAAAAATACCTGCAAGTTATATATAAATTTAAAAAATTGTTGTTATATAGATCTATTGAAATTATTAGATTTACTTTTAGCATGAACAGGTGAAGTTCGTTGGATGTTGTTTGGTTTGAGACTGACCATTGTCAGTTTGTGAGCTACTTTTAAGGGCATCATTTCTTCAGTAGCATACAACTTTTCAACATGACGGAAGTCAGCAATTAATTTTAGAATTTCACCATCATCAACATCAGTATGGTCAGGTAACAAAAAAATTTTCTTATTGATCCAGTTGTTGAAGATATTTTTGAAATTATGTGTTGTATCAAAGAGAAGAAAAGTTTGTTGGCCATTCCACATGCACTATGTTTCTAGTTTTCCATTGCAAAGCTCGGTATAGAAAGATCTGTAATAATCAAATAATTTAATTTCTCAAAATAGAAAATCAACAGACCTTAAAAAATATAAAAATAAAATTATTTGTATAAGACTAGCTTGCTAAATGTACCCACCTGTTTGTAAATAAATTGTCCATAGAAACAGCTAGCAAAGTGACATATCTCTTCAGCTTGGTTGTAACAATCTCAAAATGATGGCGTAAAACAGCAGGGTTAAGACCAGCAACCGCTTTCAATCCTACAACATCTTTATATTTGCAACACAGCGATTGAATCATAAAACACAAAACAGTTCTAGCAACTTCTCCATTTTCTGTCAAACCAAAGACAGACTCGCTAAAGTACTCCAGTCGCTTTGCAGTGTGAATTTCATCACATATCAACATGACAATTTTTTCTGACTCAGAGAGTGCTTTCAACCTTGCTTCTAAGTAAGGTTGGTTAAGATCTTCAACATTTTCAGCAAAAACAGAAGACAATTGCTGAATTCTACGGACACTAGGAAGAATAAACAATTCTTTTAGAGTTTCATAGAGCTTAGGGCTTGTCATTTGCCACAAAAATGAAACAGTTAGTAGTTTGTTAAAATATTTTCTAGCTTGTTTCTTGACTAAAGTCAGCTTTAGCTGAGCCTTTACAAATTCCAACAATGGTGCAAAGTCACCCAAACAGCCCTTTTCTATAATTATTCCCAATAATTGATTAATGTTGTTCATAATAGAACAAACTTCCTCTTCACAGAGCTCATCTTCGTTATAAGTGTTCTTCAAAAAAGCTAACAGATTAGAGAAATGTGTAGTGCTATTAATAGTATTTTCTTTTGATAACAAATGCTTGTACTTTGATAATCCTATTTCAACGGAAATCTTTCCAACATATTTATAAATGGTAACTGTTAAGTCGTTCGCTACAGTAATTGACAAAGTAATGTCGAGAGGCTCTTTCTCTTTATTATTATTAATTAGTACATAGGACAGATGAGTGTTCATTTTGATACATATATAACCTTCAGGAATTAAAGTGTCTTTAATTTTCTCAACAAAATCGTCAAAACAAGTTACCTTTTCTTCTTCCATCACAAGATTCTGAATAACTTCATATCTGTCATTCACTAATGCCACTCGAGATGCCGCAGAAGCACGGGTAGATCTTTGAGGTATCCTTGGACTGCTCAGATAAGCTGGACAATTTGGTAGCTTGCTAGGAACAGCAAAAGGTTTAAAACGATTTAAGTTTAGCTTAACAGGATTGCTTTTACGACGAGTTTCATTTGTATCCTCTCTATCTAACTATATGTCTTCATCCTGAAAATGTAACTCACACAGTCGATGATTTTTGGTGGGACGGAAATCCTTCAGCGATAAAAAACGTATCCATTTGTCCAATAAAATCGGATCACTCAATGGCAATCTAAAGAGTCTTGATTTTCCGACACTTGTATTGGATTTATAACCTGTTTTACAACCCGGAGCGCAACACTTATTAACCATTTTAAAGAACAATCCGTAATTATAGTAAAAAGTTAAAACTACTAAATTTTACAATAAATTTTACAAAAAAATACAATGATTTAAATTTCGTATTTACGAACGAGACACTAAATAAACACGATACACGAACGAGATAACTAAACTGCAGCACGAGGTGTGTTGAAATGAAAAGAAAATTATTAAAAGAGAATCTATGTTTTAATCATTAATTAAAACAATAGTCATATCAAATATCAAAACTATATAAAAAATTAAAAAAAAAAGGAGTTATTAACTTAATAATAATCTGCACAATTAAAATTACGTACTAATTCAATTAATTTTGTCATAAAAGTATGTGATATAATGAAGATTTTACCATAGGCCTCCGATTGTAAAGGAAAGAAACAAATTTCTTTCGCTTGCGCTTCCCTGTTACTACGTTCCCTAATATATATATAATATATATATATATATATATATATATATATATATATATATATATATATATATATATATATATGTTGGTAATAGACCATAATTTTTACAATTCTTGAACTACCTTCTTTTTAACTTCTAATTCTCGAAATATATATATATATATATATTTTATATATATATATATATATATATATATATATAAATAAAGTGATGTTGGTTTTGTAGGTGATAATGGTCGACAAGCTGACTGACAGATCGGAAGTAAACAATGCAGCAATAAGCATTGTGGATAATAATAATTGTTGACAAGAGTATTGATATCTGTGGTGATGTAATATTACTAAGAACGTCCTTATGTTTAGGGGTAGACTGTCGTAGGTGCAATTGTTAAGAAATATCACTGCATTTTCAGCTTTGATCATTATCTGGTCCAATTTTTCTATGTTTCGTTCTGTATTATATCATTGTTTTTTTAACTTTATCATTTAAAAAGCAACATTTTTACTATTCTTTATATTCATTTTTATCTTTTACAGAAAAAGCTTTTTTGGTAATCCCTCACCATTTATTTATTTAAATCCGAAACACAAAATGAAAATAAAAAAAAGGATTTGAGATTGTGAGATTTCCAATTTAATAAGTTATTAACTATTAGTTGTATCTTATATATGCTTATATCTGGGCGTTCCTTCTTTATTGGCTCAAAAAGATCATATTGCGTTGATACATTAATTCTATTTATTACAAAGAAACTATTAATATCTTTTTATCTTTTATTACGATGCTTAATTGTTGAAACAAACTTTAGAAGTTAATATATTATATTTTTTTTTGCAATTTTATTTCAAGGATATTCTTACAGGACTTGTTGTTATAAGCAGCAAATCGGAGAGCAGTCACAATGGCATAACATTAGCTTTGGATGGGACAGTTAATTTGCAGTTGAGTCCTAAGTCTGTCGGCACGTTTGAGGCGTTTTATAATTCCATTAAAGTACTGTTTGTTTCTTTCTTCTTATTATTATTTTTATTATTGTTATTGTTATTGTAATACCCAATGCCTCATTATTTTCCATCTCACCTGATTTGTTGTTAAGCAAAAAATTATCTTTTATTTTGCTTTTACTAATACTACCATACTTATTTTCAAGCCCATTCCGCTTATATCATACACCTGTGAACTGATAAAACCTGGAAAATTGCCATCAGGTACTATAGAAGTACCTTTTGAAATAACGTTGGTACCCCAAAACAAAACAAGGCCTTTGTATGAAACTTATCATGGTGTTTTCATCAATATTCAAGTTTGTAACTTTAAATGCACTTGACACTGCCCAATTTTTACATCAAATAACAAACATTTTTATTCAATTCATTTTTATTGCGTAAGAAACTAGTCCAACATATTAAACTGAACAATTTTAATTTTTTTTTCCAACTTCAAGTATTTAATCACTGTTGATATGAAAAAATCAATTCTCAGCAGGGATATATCAAAACAATGTGAATTTATTATGGAAAACGGGGTAGGATAGAATTTTTTATCACTTTTATCTGGTGCTAGAAATTATAAGCGCAGTTTTCATACTATGATTAAATAAACGTAAACGTTTTTTATTTTTTTTTTAAATTTTTATTTTATAAAATATGTCTTTGTAAAGGCTAGTCGTGGAGAAAAAGCCTGTCAAATGCATATTGATTTTGTGCTTAATCCTTCAAGTATAAGTAGCAAAGATGTTGGTAATTTAATCTTCATTTTATTATTTCGTATGAAATTATTTTAGAAGTTTAGAAAGTTCATAGGATTTATTCAAGTTATGTGCACTATAACTAGTTTAATTCAATGACATTCTTTTCTAGAAAGCATATTTGCCCAGTTTTGAAATTGTTGGATCTGTTGATTCTACAAAATGTTGCATCACTCAGCCTTTCACTGGAAATGTTAGAATTTGTGGCCTGTTGCTTTTATTGTATGTCTCGCCATGTTGTGTTACGTCATATTGTTTTACTTTTTAATGTGTATTTACAAACCTCAAACAAAATTAAATGACTGTGAAATATTCATCAGTCTCATTCTAACGTAAAATGTCATACAGTTAATATAAATTTTTATTCGCAATCATTATTTGAATGTTTTATTTCATATTTATATTGAAACTAAAATTGACAGATAAATGTTTTGAAATCAAATGTGAGCATAAGATCAATTGAAATTCAACTCATAAGAGTTGAAACTTGCGGTTGTGCTGAAGGCTATGCTAGAGATGGTTGGTTTGCTGTTGCAGTTGCAAATGTTTTTATTATCAGTTTAGTGAAAAGTTCTAAATTCTTCTTTATATAGCGACTGAAATTCAGAATATCCAAATTGCCGATGGTGATGTATGCCGAGGCTTGGACATTCCTCTATACATGGTATTCCCGCGACTCTTCACATGTCCCACCCTCTTCACTGATAATTTCAAAATAGGTTTGAATAAATTCTTGTTATAAAGTTGTCGTGTTGTACACCTTTTTGTTATATTTAATTTTTCATTTAAAGAATTTGAAATCAACATAGTCATTATCTTCTGCAATGATCACATGGTCTCAGAAAATATTCCCATCAGACTCAGCAGATATTGATTGTTGCGTTAAATTAATTGCTTAAAACATTAAATTACTGTTATATAAATTTGTTTACTTATTTACGATAATTTTCGGGAGCCTCCGAAAGCCGATATACACAAATTTAAAAATAAATAATTTATTAGTAAGATATAATTTTGTGCTTTTATTTTTTTTGATTTATATATAAAACTTTGTTATAAAAAATGTCGTTTTTGAATCTCGACCGAATTGGTAATCCACGTTTATTTCTAGTTCGGCCTTGACATCTTTTGGCTTCAGGACGCTTTTTAGGCTCGTCGTCCTTTTCAAATTTGGTTTTTTGTTTGTTCATTGTTCGAGTTGTTACGGTGACTTTTAAACTTGATTTAAATATTTATCAAGATATTCTTAAATCGCACATCCTTATATCACACATAAATTTAGATATAACTTATTTTTCAAGTCAGAAAAAACGAAAATACTCATTTACCGGTAATCACTAGTACTAGTTTAAAATAAAATCTAGATGAGATCCTGGCATAGAGTACCAAAAAAATCCGCACTAATGATTAGTTTTTAGAATATAAATGATTCAAAATATATGTTTGTGAATATAAGTACGTTTAAATTGTATTTTGTTTGATCAGAGACTTTGGCCTGCGTGTGTGGTGTTATGTTGAGTGGTTTCTTGACTCGACGCAATTGGGTTTGGAAGCATGATATGCCACATCCTAAAGAAAAGTTATCATGTATCTCGGGTATGTGATGCGGTGATTTGCATGTGCGTGCGTGCACGTCGTTGGAGCGCTGTTAAAATAAACCAGAGCAACAACAAAAAATAAATATTAAAAAGTGAAAAGTAGAACGTTCATTTTCACATGTACAATGCATTAGATTAATTATTTTACAAATCAAAATGGAGTACTTTAGACGACGTGTTAACGTTTTGTATCACTTTTTACTTCTAATTTTTAGTTTTTATCATTTCTTTAGATACATGATCATGAAGAGGAGCACAAATCTTTTTGAAAAGTAAAAGGAAAGAAATCTGAGTAGATCAATGAAATTTGTTAAGCGAATTTCCAAACCAAAATCTATTTTTGCTGGTTCATCTAGTCAACAGTCTGATTTGGATATAGCGGTTGCAACCGGTTAAGCGAGTAGCAACCATCGAAACTGAGACGTCAAGCCAACAATATAAAAACTAAATCAGTTTATGACAATGTTGTTTTTAAGTTGTGATGTGGGAAAATTGACAATCAGTATTGTAAAATTAATAATGCATGTTCCTAGGACAAAGATGGCCCGTTTGGATGGGTTAAAAGTGTTGGAAAACAAACAAACAAAGGATTAAGCTCAACAGTTGACTAAGCAATGGTTCTATAAGGATTTTTCAAATGGTGAAAAGGTTCTCAGTTAATGGATGGTTTATTCTTCATCAAAAAATGTTTTTTTAGCTTTTGTTATTGGCTTTTTGCTGCTTGCGATAAAAAATTTTCTTTATTTTTTTGTATCGTGGATACAACCACACGTACACACATACACTTATATATATAACACACACATATATATACCTATTTATAATGAGAGGATATTTTGGTTCAAGAAAGTAAAACTATTAACTTGTCTACATTTTCTAGGAATGACGAAAGCAAACATGTGTTTGCATATTTTTAATATTTTAATTTGAACTTATTTCCGACAACGATAATATATTTATCCACACGACCAGTGCTGGACGTGTTGTGAATGAATTTTGCCTGAAAACCCCGGCTGAATGCGCTACCAATGATAAGGATATTAGTTATCTGCCCGAGGAAGAAATTGTTTGAATGCGCAAGCGAATATTATACGGTTAAAAAGATTATGATAATTTTATTACAATTAGACGTTAATACAAACGTTCGAATCCTATTCATCCGAATGTTTTGTTTGTTTTTTATGGAAATTTTTTTTGAACCTCAAACAATGCGTGCGTGTGTTACTATGGCGAAAATGAACGTCGACGTACGTGCTCTTGTTAAGTCTAAGATTCCTGCTAGTGGAGAGTTTTGTTCGCCTTTCACTTGAGTAATGCGACCTGATGCTTTTATTCGAAAATAATAGATCATCCCAAACTGATTGATGTTCGTGCATTGCCTTGTTTTCTGTGTTCAGGAAGAAAGAAGCTGGAGCCGACCTGATCGTACTCAACCGTCAACTTATTTTAGCTGTGTGTGGATACCAAATACGCTAAGGTAATTTCTATGGAAAGTTTTTGGCCGGCTATGTTCGAGTCGGAAAATGGTCATTTAACATAATAATAATAACTTTGTGGAGAAGAATTATGTCAAGGAATAATGTTATTGATGAAGATACGCTTTTTGGAAACTTTATTTTGAACCTTGATTTTTACATTCTTTGTTTAAAGCGATTTAGAAGCATTTCTAAAGACGTGTCCTGCCATACATAATGTTTTTTTAATTTGATGTTTTTTGACTGTCTTGGTCGGTGCAATTTTTGATTGCGTTATTTTGCAGAGCTCTTTTTAAAACAACAATATTGAAAGAGCACTATATAAATTTTTAATAATTATATATATTTATATATTATGTTGCATTCTAAGTTCGAGTGAAACAGAAAATTAAAGATAAAGTAATTGTAAAAATAAGCAACAACTAGATGCTTAAAATATGCGATAAATCTTGGCATCATATTTGCTATTTGTTTACTTTTATTATATTTGTATCTGATGGAAAATTGGAATAAAATGAAATTTCAAAAAATTAGTTTAAACAAACATGGCCGTATGTGTTACTAGAAAAAGCGAAAAATTTGTAACATTGTAATATCGGCGTTAAATCAGTTTTAAAACGTCACAAACGTGTGTATTGTAATATTGACAATCATCATTACTTTAATAATTTTTCATAATTTCAATGTACGTTCATGAACATGAAAATGTAGTAACTATAACACGAATCAATATGCAAAGACCCAGCAAAAATTGAAAAATTAAGAATTATATATATACACGTATATTAAATATATATGCATATATATATATATATATATATATATATATATATATATATATGCATTAGCGTGAAAGAATGACTGAAAACATACGTAACGTACATTATGTACGCAACACGATAAAAAATTGTAACATTAATGTGATGTATGTGTTGTGCATGAATATGACCAATCGTTAAGCTGTTTGCATCCATCAACTAAAAAATCGCGTTCAGGTAATTTAAAAAAGTAAAAAAATGAAAAATCAACAAAAGATCACAGGTTTCTGTTTAAACATTAACACAGCAAAAAGTATGTATGCTAATTAAACACGTTGTGGTATGTATTTTAAAAAAAAAAGCTGTGTAGTGAGTTATTTGACATGTCGTGACTAAATGAAATTATTGTTGTCAAATTATCAAGTTATTTCTCTTTAATATGTATAAATGTTAAATTTCATTACAAATGATGAACATGTATGTGAGTCTTAACTTATCGTCTAAATTGGAAGTGATGCTCCCAAAACGCTTCAAAACAGCTTTAAGTTTATTGTTGTAACTTTGTAAGTGATTTCAAACAAACGAATACAACACATTACATGTTCATAAAAATCCTCCCGATGAATCATTCTTTTACTTGTATGCACGTTAAAGCAAATGTTTTCTTAATTTATTTAACGAATTTGATGCAAACAGATCAATTGTTCAGGAATATAAATTTCATTTTAAACTATGGCGATATTAAATAATGTCCAATCAGCAAAAACAGTTAAATTATTGTTTATCGTTTACAAAGTTAAGCAAGTATATATTTGCACATTCAATTTTATATATACACAAAGGTATAAACATTATATATGTCTTTCTCTCTCTCTCTCTCTCTCTTTTTTTCTCTCTCTCTCTAGATATATATATATATATATATATATATATATAATGACATTAAAGAAAAAACAAAACTGACGTCTGACGTAGTAGACAAAAAAACAAAGATAATAAAGGAATGAGGCAACGGAGAAAATAATGAACCAAGAACTTGATCAACGTGTTTGTTTTATTTCAATAATAATGTTCTGCCTGCAGTGTTTCTCGATGATTATATTACTGATGTGGACCTCTATCGTAACGAAAATTACTCGGCCACTATGTCAGCATTTGACAAAACTCTAGTAATTTATCAATCGCTTGTCTTCAAAGGAGCTTATTATTAATAATTGCGTGTTAAAACGATGCAATATGTTGCAGTTGCTCTTGAAATGGCCAGTTGAAATCCAATTATAACTCTTAATTTTGTGATCATTAATAATATTATTATTAAAATCAACGTTACTGTTTAGCTGTTTCAATATTATATTATGAGCAAAAATTAGAACTATTGGAAGAAAATGTTATTAATGAATCCACCCAATCATATATTGCGCACACAATAAATAATTTTGTTGCGGTACATCCCATTGTACAAATTTCACCTATTTGTATAATTTATGCATAGCCTAAATTCTGAATAATTATAAATAGTACCTGCGAATATTTAATCTGCTGGATTAAAAAAAAGCATCGTGTTTATTTCGCTGTTAGTAGGCTATTTTCAACAAATTATAATCTGGTGTAGCGTTTTAGCTCTCAAAGTTTTTAAACTATTCGCATGTATTATTAATTTATACACAAAAAAACTCAATAAATTAAAAGATTTTATTTTATTCGAATGTTTGAAAAAGCTATCCGACCCTAAATACTCTAACCTGTTTATGTAGAACCAACCAATCCAACACAGGATTGCGTTTGTTTCAATCCGTCGACACTTCTCCTGCCTCCGCCTGTACTCTGCCTGTCATCGTCGCTTTTTGATGTAGCCATATTTTCGCCTCCATGACCTTTCGCATAAGCACCGACCATTAACTTTCCGTCAGGGGCCAATGTCCCAGTAAGAGTGTGTGTTTCGATTTTTTCTCCGAGTTCGTACTCTTTTGAGAATTTGCTTTTTGTCAACCGCTCTGTCGTTTTCTCCTCGTGCTTTGCCCAGATCCAAATTTTGTTGTCTTTTATCACCTGTACAGTTTTTTTGAAGTAATATTTTTAATTTCGATTTAGAAAAATTGTTTAATAATTTATAGCTTAAAAACTTTCTTAGTGGCGTATGGAGGAGGCTCAAGACAGTGGGGCCTGTCTGCAGTCCTCGACCGTATAATAATACACATAATTCATAGTTGCACAAGAACAATCATCAGTAAGCAATATACAACTTTTAAATGTTAAAAAACGAATAATCAATAAAGAGCGAAAAGAAGACTGTCGCAAATTTGTCAGTTATATCGTCAAGTTCATTAAATTGACCTCTCATTTTATGCTATGCTTAGCAGTGTCATGTCAAGCAAACTGAAATAATGATGTCTCATAGAAGTTTTCCATATATGTTAAAATTATTTTTATTTGCTCAACAACAAAAAACTCAGTTCGCAATTGCAAAAATTTTTACAGAATTGTGAATGTGCAATTGGCATGAAAAATAATGACTACAAGTAATGCCAATGGACTACTTTTAGCTGTATCTGGCCGAGTTTTCAGCAACTATCTGCTAGCTTTCATTTAACGTTATCAGGCGACCATACCGTTTGGTCATCTACTTTATTCTTTGAATATGGTTGTCATCTACTGAATTAAAGTAGTGGTGGTATGAATATTGAAAGTTAGATGCGATTTTTCGAATTATTCAAAAATTTTTTGCTTGCAAGTTTTTTAAGTTAATGTTACCAACAATTGAAATCAACTCATTTTTAAAGCAAAAAACGGTTAGTTAATGAGCATTTATAAGAAACAACCTGCTATTAGTTTTAATTGACTTAGTGACATAACACTTTGGTCGTCAATAAATTCTAATTTTACATTAAATTTATTGTCGTTGGTTAATAAATTTTTAAAGCCGAGAGTTTGGTATTTTTAGTTTTCTAAATGATTCATTGCTTGAATCATTGTTTTTTTTAATTTTTTCCATTACAAATCGAAATCGAATTTTTTTACATGAAAAAAATCAAAAATCGAATGGATTTTTGAACATTGGACTATCACTTCTTATTAATTACTTGGTTTCATTACGCGAGTTTTTTTTTCATCTTCACTTGTGTGAATGTATTAATCTGCGCAAAATTGATGTTATGATTTATATATCACCTACATTTGTTTGATGCTGAATATTTACAAATTGGAACAAACTTTTTGAAAAAAAATATTTGAATAAAATCCGCTAAAATCAAAGTTTTTAATATGTAACAACTAGGTCTTAAAAATTTAAATAAAAATTTAAATTAGCCAATTTCACTTTGGTTGATATGGATTTTTATTTTGTTTTTGTCAAATATCTACAAATTATATAAAAACGTTTTGTATGTGATATCGAATTTTTTATACTAAAAGGACCCGCATGAACAATTATCTACGCTAGCTTTTCGAAATAAAAATATATACAATAACTTATGTAGCGATTTCCAGTGTGTCGAACTCGTTTGAAAAATATCCGACTTCGGCCCCTCAAAAAATATCTGACTCCAGGTAAAATTTTCCGATTCTGGGTTCCGAATTCCAGAAAAATTTGTCAACTTTTGTATTATAATTTTACCTTATCATCACTACTAAATGAAAAACACTTAAAAAAACACTTGAAATTAGTCAATGTAATTGTTTTTCATAGTAAAATTACCAATTTTTATGTTTTAAGACATTCTGAAACAATTGTCAACTTTTTCATCATAATTTACCTTATTATCACTACTAAATAAAAAACACTTAAAAAAATACACTTAAATGTCAATGTAATTGTTTTTCTTGATAAAATTACTTTATTTTTATGTTTTACAACATACTGAAAAATATTTATGTTTTAATCACGTAATGAGCATTTATATTCAGTGTTAAAGATGATTGCTTATTGCTACGTATATTTATCCTCTACAAAACACAATCTTAAAAAAATTTACCGCTAAAAAATTAAAATTTTTTAAAAATAAATAACAATTTTTGGATTCAGATAAAAAAATTCGACTTCGACCCATAAAAAATCCGATTCCTACTCCGGGTTCTCAAAAAATTCCTACTCTGGAAAATATATCCGTCTCCGACCGACTCCGACACTGGCGATTTCATACCAAATTCCTACTCTGGAAAATATATCCGTCTCCGACCGACTCCGACACTGGCGATTTCATACCAATTTAGCCCTTGACTAGGAGTGTAAAACATTCATTCTACTCATCAGCTTTGAAATGTTATAAAAATATATAAAAAAACAAACTTTATAAAAATTTTGGATAAAAGTTTTTTAGAGCAACAAAAATTGATATACCTTTGTTAAAAATAACCAAAATACTCTTAAATCGTCATCATCATTAACGGGCGGGCTTGTTACGCACGACAATATTCCTCCACAACTTTTTCCGACAAATTGCAACTCTCTTGACCTGATTAACTCGATGATTGGGGCTTGATTAGTTATCCTGTATAGCTTTTTGTTGGAGAGCTTCGGCTTGGTTGATGTTTAGCATGATTCGATAACATTTTGATACCAAAATGTCGAGTTTATGCTCTATGACTTCCTATAGTGTCCACGATTCGCAGCCATAAAGCAATACCGATAGACATGCCGCATTGAACAGTCGAGTCATGAACTTGACTTTGGTTTGGACGATCTAAGGATAGTCTTGAGCTTGGTGAATGCAACCCATGCTAGAGCAATTTTATTGTCCACGTCTTTCTCATTTGACGCTGTGTATGACCCGAGGTACCTGAAGTCGTCGACAATCACTATGCTGCTTGCGTCGATGCTTATCCATAAATATTCAAAATATTCGTTCTTCCACTCAAATTTGCAAGATCTACAACTGGGGCCAATCACGCTTGAAAATTTGAGTAGAAACGCATGTTTGTTTAAAAAACATGATTAAATTAACATTTGCGTAGTTTTCATAACGTTTTTGAATCCTACGCATAACGCGAACTAGATTTTTATAAAGTGTATGCATAAATAATTATGAACAAAGCCAATTGTATTATCAAAATAATTTTCTTTAAAAACATTCCATATCATATTTTGCTTTTTAATTGTGTAGCACTAAGAAAGCCAAAGCTGTTTTGCCTAGTTGTAATTGTTTCCTACAAAGTTGCTATTAAACTTAATTAAACTTACGCGTCACAAAGTTAATACCAACATCAACACTACACGACGCATAGATGCCATTGCTTTTGCGTGCAAGCTAGGATGTCGAAGTCGGTCTAAATTGGAGGTTTTTGCCGGAGTCGAAATTTTGTAAAAGGATGGAGTCGGAATTGGATATATTTTTCATCCGACTCCAGGAAATGTAAAAGTTTTGAAAAAATGTATGTACCTATTTATTTCCATGAACAATTTTTCAAGCTCGTGCTTTTTAGAGAATATATGGGCAATCATCTTTAATACTGATAAACGATGCTACCAAACGCTTTGTGCAGTTATTTTCAATTTTAAAAAGTTAAAGAAAAAATTTAAAAACTAGGCTCATATATGTAAATTATTATAACATTTTTTTTACTCGCTAACAGCTTGTAATTTTAGAAAACTCGTCAAACTGTTAGACGTCAGCCAGCTGCACAATTCAAAAACGCATTTGTTGTCAATTCTTTTTGAACATTGCTTACATTACTTGTATTTAAACGTAAAAAATGTAATGGTCCTATTAGTGAAGCTTTTTTTGAAATTTTCATAATACATTCATTTGTTTTAATTAACTCTTACATTAATGTACAAAAAATTATTTTCAAAATCTTGGTTGTATTAGGCCAACATATTACTCTAAAAATTCTTACGTTTGAAAATGAACAAGCTGCATTTTTTTTGTGTTGATTCAATTTCATAAGACTGTAATGATATGATAACGTTTTGTACCCATAATTGTTTTGATTTTTCAATGTTTTATGATGCTTTTAAAGTCTTCCACTAACCTTGAATTTTCAATTAAGGAAAACGACTCCGGCACCGTAGAGTAAGCACCGCGCTGTGCGAAAAAGCTATACGATAGTCATAGATAGAGTTTTTAAACTGACATCATGCAACGCGCAATAACAATCACGTGACTCTCATACTAAAGGAAATACAGTTCACGCAAATCCAACTTTAAGAATTTTCTCAACTCAGATATTTTCAAATTTTGTTTCAAAATTCCACTTAATTAAATAATAATTTAACTTTAATAAAGCAAAGCTTTTTTTGTAACAACCGTTTCGAATATTTATTCAAAATAGCAAAAATGAAGAAAAGTAAATGACATATTTATAAGAGCTATAAAAAAGATTCCGTTTGATAGTGTCGTGTTACACCTATGACTTTCAAATTATTATAAATTGAAAAAAAATTCACTTGCATTGTAATATAAAAGCTGAAATATTTAACTTGATTTTTTTTAGATGTCATTTAATTCAAATAATTGACATTTGATACTGTGTTTTGAAACAAAGGATGCATTTAAAAATTAATTGATAAACATAAACATTAAAGTTACATTAAAATCAAGTTATTAAACAGACCTGGACTGTAATATCCTGAGGCTTGAAAATACCGCCCAAATCAACAATGAGAACCAACCTTCGTTGACCATTTTCTTCTCTAAAAGTTGGAACACCGATTTTATTTTCTTTGGACGGTGTATCTTGGCCGGGGCTGTTGGAAGGAGATCTGGAACCTGCCGGTGAAGAACTCAAACCGACAGCAGAATGATGGGTAGACGAAGCCGGACTGGCTCGTCGAAGATCGTGGTAGCTTGAGCGCCCTCTCAGTGGGGCTTCCACTATCAATATATGGTCGGACGTTAAATAAGATTTAAATTTATGAGGATCTACTTCTTTCGGTTTTTGTATTTTACGTTCATATGCCCGATTAATAGAACCTTTAGGTGGCACCGATGTGTTGTTCATATTTGTCGTATCGGTTGACGACCGTGGTGCCGTGTCGTTGCTTTGATTCTGCAGCTGAATTATAGATGATGACGTTGACGAAGGGACCGCGTTCGAATAGCTTTTGTCACTGTTGTTAGCATTGTTTTCAGAGTTATTATTTTGTTGATCGTTTACATCGTTTGACATATTGGTAAGATTTGTGGCTGATTCATGCTTGATGGCGCGAACAATAATACGATCACCGTCACTAGCTACATGTATTGATGTCGGGTCAAATCCGGATACGTCAAATCGAATCCTAAATTTTCTTCCTACATCTGGATAATCGAGAAATAGGGTTTTCATTTTTTTAGGATCTAGAATATCCGTACTTCCTCGTCGTTTGGCAACTAAAGGGTCATTCAGCAGTTCTTCACTTCCCCACACTCGATCTGTAGGGTATAAATGTAGAAATTCCTGTCTCATGCGCTCCACTTCTTTTTCCCACGATTTTCTCTTTCTTTTCATATCGGCTTCTATTCTTTTCTCCATATCCCGAAGACCAACTGCTTGTCTGCTTTCAAATGTCATAGTATCGTAAACCATGGGAACTTGAACTGACTCAGTGGTGTTTGTGTTGTTGAATAAGGTATTGCTCGAGGCAGCGTTGCCTGATTTTTTATCAACTCTGCCTTCACTTGCTGTTCCTTCTCCGTCCATGCTTATTGAACTGGCCATATTCTACGTGTTGAACCTTTCGATAATTAATTAATTTTTTCAATCAGGCGCAATGTGATTGATTATTGATTGATTATTGATTATATTTTATTCTAAGTGAGATAAAATTATTAAATTGAAAATTGTTATTTTTCAATTTTGTGAAATAACTATTTATTCATAAGCTTGTTAAAAAAATTAGCTTAAAAATATGTTTTAATTTGAAAAAAGTATTTAAAAAAAATAATGTAACATAATATACTATCATTTTGCTGCCAATGTAACAAAAATGCAAAGTGTGATTGCCATTATTTCTAATAAATACATAGACGCTAAAGGAATTATTGTTCTTTTATTTATTCAGCAAACACACGTTGTTGATTATGAAAACAACAAAGAGCGGGTCCATTCATTCGTCATAATATTGTCGTAGTGAGGTCATCCGTTCACGCTGCTACTATTAGCTCATATTTCTCTTAATATAATTTATTCTTACGATAATTTATTTATCTTGTTAATGATATTTTGATTTTAGACCTGTTTTTTATTCCTCTCTCATGTTCTATTAGAAATTGATTTTAATAGTTTTTAAACCGTCTATTTTATTTTGACAAATAAATATGAGAAATAAATTAACATGAACACTTGAGAAAAAAAAATTGTTTAATCTTAATCTAGACTGCAGAAAAGTAAAATATTGTTTCGTAGATTGAAAAAAGTTTTTTGACAAAACCCCAGCGAAAACAACTAAATGGCCTGGAACATAAAAGTTCTCTTTTTGTTTGTAAAAATATTCATTTTTCAAGGATTTGGTTAAGGGTAACAAATATTGTCCCAGAAAGTTATGGGCTACAATTGACAAATTGTTTGGAAATCATCCCGTTTAAGGCTGTGTTGAATCAAATAGTAAACTTAGTTCATCTCAATTTTTATTGCTTTTTGACGAAAAGATTAAAAAGTAAAAAAATATTATCATGTAAATCAATCAACACACACACACATAAGTACATACAAAGACTAAAACACATAAAACACGACTGACGTATTTATTATTCCACAGAGGGAATATATTCACGCAGCAAAATGCATACACACAGACAGACGAAACCACAAACAGAGAAATATTAAATAAGAGAAAGACACACTTGACCGCAATTCATCACGACTGGTATGCAAAATATTTCAGACGAGGTAATCAGATCCATGTGCAACCATTTTCGCATGTGAAACTAAGACGCCAGCGCACACAGCAAAATGCATACACACAGACAGACGAAACCAGAAACAGAGAAATATCAAATAAGAAAAAGACACACTTGACCGCAATTCATCACGACTGGCATGCAAAGTATTACAGACGAGGTAATTAGATCCATATGCAACCATTTTCGCATGTGAAACTAAAACGCCAACGCGCAGGCACCTTCTCCTACATAAGGAGATGCAGCATTAAGCAGGGGGGGGGAGAAACTACAGAAGACATACACGGAACTACACGATGGACGAGACGAGACAGGAAGAAGAACATAAGACATACACGAGTCTACTCGAGAGACGGAACAAGACGGGAAGGACACAACATAACTCACGCAACAGATAGGACTCAAGACATAAAAATAGATTTTATTCGTAGCATTTATTTTATATGTCACCTTGTTTTGGAAAAAGAACTGTAAAACTAAAATGGGTGAGTTTGTGTTTAATTCGCTTAATTATAATATAAGTAACTAACATAATAACTAAGTCGCGTAAGTCATCAATTTAATTCGTCACTACTATACATTCGTTTTACGATAATCAAGTTTGATCGCGAGCACCACATCAGTGATCCGCTAGTTCCCGGTTCCTATGTGGATACATTATTCATCGCAACATCAAGATAGAGGACCAGAACTATCTACATAATAACACAACATACAAAGAGCAGCATCCACATAATAATATGCAAATCCTAGGTCAGTCATTCTTTCTTGCAATTTGGACTCTGAAAGTTTGTTTCTGTTCATTCATTCGATCCTTGTTCTAGCAAGGATGTCAAAAGTTTAGTTTTTTGTTCACCCTCTAAGTCGTTTATCAATGATGTTATTCCAACGCGGATTCTTAAGCAACATATTGATCTTTTTATTTCATTTTTGACATTTTTCATCAATTTATGTTTGCACCTTGGATGTTTCCTTAAAGTTTTCAAACATGCTGTTGCTACACCTTTGTTGAAAAAGCCGTCTCTTGATAAGGATGACATCAATAACTATCGACCAATCTCAAATCTCTTGTTTTTATCAAATTGTCGAGCGCATTTTTTCCATGCAGTCCATAAAGCATTTGAATAGCCATAGTATGATTCCAGCCTACCATCTGAACTGTTTGGGTCAATGAATGTGCAGTCTTTCTCTTTTGACTTAGTTGGATATGAATGCAGCTTTTGACTGCGTTGACCAGTCCTTACTAATACATAAGCTCAAACATCATTTTGGTGTCTCTGGTACGGTAGCATCGTTATTTAAATTTTATTTAATTGGTAGGATGCAGCAAGTGTTTTTTAACAATGTTTTGTCAGATGTCGAAGTTGTCGTGTTAGGAGTTCCTCAGGGGTCGGTTCTAGGACCACTACTGTTTTTGCTGTACACAGCTGATGCTCTTCTAGTCTCTGAGAAATATAACTTCAAATATCATGCGTTTGCTGATGATTTGCAGGTAATTTGACAAGTACTTCAGTTTTCACTTTCGAGGAGCTAGTTGATACACTTGTTTCTTTTTTCAATGAACTCAATGGTTGGATGGTCGAAAATGGATTAAAGCTGAATGAAAACAAGACACAGCTTTTGCCTGTCGGCACGTGACAGCAGTTACAAAAAGTTTGTGTTAACTCAATCAATATTTCCGGTACTGTTGTCGACTTATGTACATAGGTTAAAAATTTGGGTATAACATTTGATCAAACTATGACAATGGACTAGCATATCAGGGCACTTACTAAGAAATGTTGTTTTCAACTTCAAAGACCTAACCAAATAAAAAAATCTCCATTCAGAATCGAGCGGCAAAAATCATTTCTGGTTGATTAAAGCTTGACTGTTTGACCTTCATTGGCTAACAATCAGAAAAAAAATATTGTTCAAGATTTTCAAATGTTTAAACGGTTTAGGTCTACACTATCTGTCTAGAAATTTGTCATATAAAACAACAACAGCTCGTCGTATTTCGACACGTTCAGACGACAATTTTTTTCTGTTGTTGCCGGAGACGCGGTTAGTGGTGGCCACTCGTGGTTTTGCAGTCGCAGGTCCAACAGTTTAGAACAGCTTGCCGGACAGTCTGCGTCAACCAGGATAGACTGTTCAACAACTTTACAGGGAACTGAAAACGTTTTTCTTCATGCATCAATTCCACTAGGCTCAAGAAGCGCCTCTGAGTAATATTAAAGGGCGCTATATAAATTCTCCAATAATAATAATAATAATAATGTAAACTCTTTTATTATTCAGAGAAAACCAGTAAAATCTAAAATAATCAAAATAAAATATGTCAATAATATGTTAAAATTAGTTAAATATAATTAAAATAATAAAATAATATGAATAGTCATCAACGCTCGTTATCCTGAAATAAGTGCCATGATGATAGCTTGTATAAAAATTGGAAACAGTTTGTTCACGCATTGTTTCTATCGCAGTCCAAGCATAAGATGACGATATTACACTATTGATTAAACTATATCGAAAATTATCAGTCCAATTTATATCGATTAAAGACAGAATAAAAGGATTATAAAAACCTATAGGCGATATTTCAAAAGTTTTAATTAAAATATTGAAATGTTTAAAATCATCTACAATGTTATTTTTTAAATTATTTAAGTATTTATTCATTTTATATTGTTTTGATTTCATAAAGTTTGTTTCATGGCACACGGTCAGTTCGAGTATTTCAATAGTATCTTTGTTACAGACTGCGATGTCGGGTCTGAGTGATTTGAACAGATCCGTTACTGGACGCACCAAACCTTTTTCCACGTCTGCAAATATTTCGATACCCGGCCTTGCATTTACTTTTATGTTATCAATAATTATTGTGAGAATTTTGTTGTGGCGGTAATAATAACAATAATAATAATAATAATAATAATAATGAGCATAAACAATTAAAGCAAATCGGTATGTAGTTAAATGAGGCTGTTTTCAGTGATCAATTTATGCAACAAAATTGATGTCTAATATAACCAATGAGAGCGATTGGATGATCTTAATGTTAAAACTTTTGCTTTTCTGAAAACTGCATCGGTATACTATGGTAAGGCAAATATCCTAAAATTACTAAACTAAGTAAAAAGTTGACAAAAAGATCGGTTGGTTGTTTAAGATTTGCACACACAAAACATTTGTGCATAGAATAGGCTAATATCTAATCATTTGCTATCTATCGTACAACATAACTGCAAATTTACTATTGATAATTCCAACAACAGAAAAAATGTGTGGCTTTCAAGTGAATCATGGATCAATATTCTCTTTAATCACGTGAAATACAGAGGCATAAGAATGGAGTAAGGCATTTCAAACAGAGGTTTCTCCTGAAAACTAATGTTGCTATCCAGTTAATGATACAAATTTAAAAATTTTATATTGTCTAAAATCTAATTGAATTGAATTTTTGTCTCAATAATTACTATTTTTGTTTTTTAGTGACATACTTACCTGTAACGTCTTATTTTACAGTTGAAAAATGATTAGCACATGCATGTACAAAAACGCAAACTGCAACATGCATGGATCGTTTACGTGTTGTTACTTGACTTATTAATCAGAATATACTTATACATAAACAAATAACAAACATTATTTTTGATTTTATTTTTGCATTTCTGATCATAGTTTTACGTTAAATTTTTTGGCGTTTAGATTTATTAAAAACTTTTCAGTCATCTTGCACTTGGCTGTCTTCTCAAAAAGTAAAGTGAAATGAAATTTTCGTAAATTAAGATCAAAATTAGTCATACTCGAAATATTTTATTCGTAGAATTT